GGGGGGAGGGGGGGGAGATAGAAGAACGGTGAAGGTGGGAGGGGAGATAGAACAGAGGCACAAAAAAGCAAGAGACAGAAAAGAAAAGGCACCATAATTTTGTTTTTGAAAATGGCCTCCTTACTGACAGGAGAATTTCATTTATAAGGCAGATAGATTAACGACTCCCAACAGAACAGCAAGTCCAAGATACTTAACTCTTCTGTTCCTTTCCCCGAAAGCACACCCAATCTCCTTCGTGGGTATGGCGGGCATAATAACGATTCAGCCAGCACGATCATTATTACGGCCCCCAAGATCTATCACATGCTGATGGCAATTTAATACCCACTTAATGGACAAGAAACGTTTACGACGCTATTGAAAGTACGACTCTTGCAGTATGGGTCAATAAAGAAGAATTGTCACCTCGCCCAGACAGACTACCCGGAGACGAGACACGGGGTTAGAGAAATAATAATAGACACTGCGCCGCTTTAGAGAAGCCTGCAGTAGGGGAGCTAGCTCCAGATACAATATTTTTGCACTAAGAGAACTAGGAAATATGTATCATTGTACTGGTTCAAAACAAGGAGCATCTTATGTCTCAACGACACGACAATGTATTTATAGCAATATCAGTAGAGACTATCTTGAGAAGAATATTTGTGTAGTAGGCAGTGCTGAAATATACTTTTTTTTTTGTTTTGCTTCCTTCGAAATAAGGGCTCCTTCCTTTAGACACGATAGTCTGGTTACCTATCCTGGATACGTTTTTTAAAAAAGAGCGACATAAAGCTGGTCAACATGTTTCTTCATGAATGAAACCCAATTTAAACACAACTATTTCACATACACGTCAGATCCGAGATCATGGAATCTTTTCAGGCTTTTGTCGAGCGTTTGGCAAAAACATACCATAATATTATTATAGAGATTGTGTTACCTCATAAAATTACATAAAATATGCCGTGTCCCTATTCTGCTTTCAAAATATCCCTACACAGCTGCTTGCACGGGATATATAAGAAAAAAAATCACTTTCAAAGGGTAACAAATTCATATCCGATAAAGCTGAAAATCGAACAGACTACCTTACAAGTACAAATCAGACGTCTGAAGCTGAACAGCTGGTGGCTGGTAAGCGGCCTAATCAGCATCTGAGTCTGAGAAGCACGTACACAGAACTTTTACAGTTTAAAGTACGGGGGCAGAAAGACGCTTCCCATATTTTGATCAACGTCCTTTCATCAAACCGACTACTTCTGGGGTCCTGGATCATTCTTTCTTTATTTAAAGAGAGGCTGACAACTAGACCAAGCTGTTATTAACCTTTAGCAGAAAGTAAAAAAGAAGACAGACAGACAGACAGACAGACAGAGAGACAGACAGACAGACAGACAGACAGACAGACAGAC